TTATTTTAATAATAAAAGGACGTGCCACGATATTTGTTATCATATTCTTGAAGAAAATTTTGGAATACTCAGTTTGAGTTATGAGAAAGAAATTGGTGCCATGTTTCCTTTATAGTACCTAATGCTGCTGCAAATGTTACGAGAACAAAATCTTTTAAAAGCGGTATTAAGGCTATAGCTTTGTCCTCATCCCACCTTATGATGGCAGCCTCTTGCTCTGCATAGAATATGCAAGATCACAAGGTGTTCTGAATCTCTGCAGTCTCCAGGGAGAGGGAAGGGGTGAGTTAAGGTTGCTGTGGTGATTTTCACCTGCGTTCTTCCCCTTTTTTGCGGTTGAATTTGAGACTCTTACTAAAGGCACGAAGGGCGTTTAGTTTCATTGGATTAAAACAAGAGTATAGAAACAAATGAAGCCTAATACAAGGGAGCCATTTGCCTGTTACCCTTGGTTTCTGTCACTTCCCTTGTCAACCATGGTTCTGTTTTCTTAACTGCGTCCAAGCTAGATAGACTGTATTGATTAGCCCTGCTCAGTTCTCCGTAGCTTGGAAACTTTTACCTGAAGTGCCCTTCTCCCTCTATCTGCTGTCTTCATGAGATAGGGTAGCGTTTAGAGGTTTAATGCCATGGGTCCTGGGATCAGACACTCTGAGTGTATATAAGTCCTGTTTCTGCTGTTTACCAGCTGTGTGACCCTGGCCGAATTTCCTAACTTTTCTGAGCCTCAGTTTCTTCATTTGTGAATGGAAATGATAAAAGAATTATTGGAGAGGATTAAAAAGATAATCCTTGTAAAGAGCTGAGAATACTGGCTGGCATGTAGCAAATTCTCAAATTTTAGCTACTGTTACTCAATATAGCTTAGTCAGTATGGCTGTTGAATCTTTAGGAAGCTTTTCTTGATTTTTCCTCATCATTATCATCACTTACTGATTACCTGGCATTCCCACATGCTATCCTACATCTACACTGTTATTTTATGTATTTGTGTTCTATTCTGTTACCTGGATATTGTTTCAAGCTACTGCAGGAAATCTTTTTTTGTGTGTGTATTTTATATCTACTTTGTACAGTGTTCTGTACATAATAAGGGTAGTTCAATAAATGTTTGACTAGGTTTTAGGAATTTTGTAAGTTTTCTTGATGAATCTCACACACACTCTACCATTAAGCGATGTTACCTTCAAGATATAACTCATTCACCTATTGATTCCATAAGAGTAAGTTCTTATCAAAAAAACCAGTGGTTTGTACAGTGTGTGTACTTAAACAGTCAGAGTGATGCGTGTCTTTGTCCATCCTAATCTAAGATTAGACAGTTCTCCTTGGTGGTTTCCTAGGGGTTTTCAAGTTTTTAAAAATATTGCATTATGCAGTGGTATAGAATTGTTTTTAAAGCAGAGTATACTTAACCCAGTGACTGATGCTTCTGCTTCTGTCTGACAGATTGGAATGTCAGCTAAGCTGCACAAGGCAAGCTTGCTGCTTCTTGCACCCAGATGACTCCCTGCTACTGCGCCTGTGCATTGGGGAGGGCTGGTGGGTGCAAATGCCCAGGCCCAGGCCCATGGAAATGTCCTGGCATTTCCTTAGCCACACGAACTTTGCTCATTGTCCTGATCACAGCTTACTTAATGACTCTCTGCCTAAAGTGCCTCCTTACCCCAAGGTTGGGATTGACTCTGGTTAACCTTTAATCTTATAGAGGCAAAATCAAGATTATTGTTGCCAGAGATAAGAAAGTATTGGGAAAGTCCCCAAGGGTCCCTGTTTTCTTTGCTTCAGAGCAGTTTGTCTCAGATAGCTTGTATTTCTCTCGCTTCCCTTCCTGTTTCATCTTTTATCCACCACCTTAAGCATCTGGTTATCCTTTGGTTTTTATGAGGACAGTTGTGAGTGGATTTTATTTTTGTGGGTTGAAAGCGTATTTTTGCTTAAGGAAACCACATGGGAGGTTTTGAAATATGCACACGCTCCATTTTCATCACGTCCTATCAGCAGCTATTGGCATGCTCTGCAAAGCAGTAGGGTAGCTGGTGGGGAAGGCATTGGGGATTCTAGAAACTACGGTAGGTAGCCATGTCCCGTGTTATTAAAGGAAAAGAGCTGAGGACTTTGTAGAGTAAGATGGCAGTAAGAGACAAGGCCTGTCAGCAGCATTATTTGTGCACATGGCTATATTCTGGATTAACTCTAGTCTAAAACATTTCGTGAGGAGGAGAGGGGAAAAGGAATTCCTACTGTGGTGTAGTTTTCACAGTTAGGTGATAACCCCTCTTTACTGGTGAGAGCTACTTCCGGGACAGGTCAAGGAAGTTGTAAGCTAACAAAATCTTAAATATAGTGCTTACCGTGTGTCAGGCTCCACTCTCTGTGAACTCATTTTGTCAAGAGACAGAGTCAAGATTTAACCTGGGTCTTTCTTACCCCATACCGAACCTGTGTGCTGCCTTTTAACTTGCTGGAAAAAGGACCTGAAATGTTGACGTTGTATGTACCACAGCAGCCCCAGCATTCGTTCAGCAAATGTTTGTCTAATATTTGTTGGATATTGGGGAAAATTAAAAGAATGAAAAATTGTTTTTTTGCTAGTAGGTACCAGATGGTAATTCTCTTCAAGTTGCGAGGCTTTCCCCATATATTATTTCATCACACCTTAGAGCCACCTGGTACACACACCAAGTAACTTCCTTTGATTGGCTGTGACAGAGTTCTTTCTTCCTTTGATTGGCTGTGACAGAGTTCTTTCTTCTTCATTTGATTGGCTGTGATAGAGTTCTTTCTTCCTTTGATTGGCTGTGACAGAGTTCTTTCTTCCTTTGCTTTAGAATTGAGTCTTCGGATGTTCTCCAAGGAAATCTAAAAGATGTGTGATTTTGAAGGCCCCTTTAGTAAGAATACCTGCTGTTTATGACATGGCAGATGTTATATCCGACCTTAGCTGCGGCAACCTGAATCCACTGTTTTAGTCTCTTTTACTATTCCTACCACTAGCTAATTGTTATGTTAAAAAACAAAGGAGCAGATGAAAATAGAATACTATCAAAGAATGCTTTTGTTTCTCTTGTAATTTTTTAGTTACCTCTGTGTGGAGACAATGGAGACAGGCTTAATGGAGCCTGCTACTGATGTAGCAGAATGGATTCTGCCCCAAGAACTGTGGGCAGGGCCAGTGGCAGCCCACTTCAGGGCCTCCTGCATCGCTCATTCCGCCTGTGCATTTACTTGCTTAAAGATCATGTGACTGACTGCTGACTGTGCACACATCACACGTTCCTTACTCGCCTAAGATAAACAGTGGTGTCTGGAAATGGGTATGCTCACAGAGTTGAGATTGTACAGCAGAAGTTTGAGGTTTGTTTATTGTTCATTCACCAAATATTTATTAAAAGAAGGAACCCTTAAAGCAGACCTTATCTAGGATTGACCCTTAGTTCACTATAGACTGTTTTGCTCTCCCCTTACATATTCTTGCCTTGAACACATCTCATTATCTAGTTTTTATCATCTGACTTGCAGTCCATCCCCCGGAGTCTAGCGTGCTACCACTTGCATCGTGAGCCTCCACGCGTCTCAGCAGAGCTCTGGCCAGGTGTGCCAAGCCGCCTTTGTGCAGCCTCACCTTATGTTAGCCCCCTCCCCTTTTTTGGGGGGGAGGACTTCAGAACATTTTTCTCTTATTTGGGAAAATCCACCCTATTGTGAAGTAATCAGTAAGGGACCACTTCTGAATAATTTGCTCCCCCATTTTTAAAATCACCAGTTTTGATTTTTGTAACAAACTAAGGTTATTTAGTTTGTCATTGACTGACTCTCAGGTAAATTGGAATTTTACTATATTCTGAGTGAAGTAACCATTCAGTTTGTAAATATTTTACATGTTAAAAAAGGAAATTGAAAATTAGTGCCTTAGTATTGAAATTCATATTGAGTTGCACTATGTATAGTTACTGTTTGAATTAAATTGACTTTTTCTTTTGTCAGTGGAACATTTTTTCTCCTAGTATTAGAATACATGCCAATAAAAGAGTTTGAATTCTTTTTCAAAGCTGATTTCTTTTTCCTAAATTGGTTGTCAGCTGTACCACGATTAGGAAGGATGGTTGTGGTATAATTGAATAGCCTACTGAGACTTAGAAGCTCTGACTTTTATTACGTTTCTTCTGTTTGTGTAACGGTGGGTAAGTGAACCACTCTGAGCCTCTTTTCTCAGCTCATGGCACCTGGAGAGTGAGGTTTGGGGGAGAGAAGGGACCGGGGCTAGTGGGAATTTTACCGTTTGTTTCATACAATCATATGCTACTTTTTTTTTTGAGCTTGTGTTATTTTTGTAATTTATAAAGAAAAGACGTACATGAATTTAAGGAAGTGCTATTGATTAGTAGTCTCTTATTCTTCTGGAAGAAAGACTAGAACATGCAGAGAGGAAGTAGATTCATCTCTGGAGGTGGCAGCTGCTTCTGGAGATTGAGTCAGTTCGTTTTCCGGGGTGTTTTCCTTATGCTGGAAAGCTGGCGCTGCCTCCTTGTGTTGGAGGTGGAAAGCAAATACCAGGCATTGGGTCAGATAATTTATCTCTTAGATTTTTTTTTTACTTAAAAATAGGTTGCTTGTTCTTCGACCTCAGCTGAGACTAAAAATGAACCCCCATTTAATATTTCTTTTTTATTTCTGAATAATTATTTTCAAAGTACCAAAGTAATACTTACCATAGAAAATTTAAGTAGAACCAAATTTTAAAAAAATCATAATCTTACCATCCAGAGAGAAGTACTGTTAATGTTTGAGTATATTTTCAGCCATTTCCCTGTGGGATTTCTGTATGTAAGATTCATAATGGGATCATATTATATGATTCTGTTTTATTACTGTCTGTTCTTTATTGTTATTCTTGTGCATGGCTGGCCTGAAATACATACACACCATAACAGTTCTAGTGCTCATAGACTGTGCTCTGTTCCTCGGTTTGTTCACTGGCCTCTTGTCCTGTCTTTCAGTGGATGAATACATTGCCATTGCCAAAGAGAAGCATGGGTACAACATGGAACAGGTAATGACTTGGTTTTCTTTTGTTGTTAAAGATGGTTTTTATAGCTCACCCATTAAAATTTTTTTGTTCCTGTGTTCAGTATTAGTGTTTCCTCATTAGCTATTTTTTTGGTGGTTATTAGCAGTATTATACAAGGCTCAGGTCCCATTTTTACCCTCTGAGATGCCTTTGATTTGAAAGGCATCTGTATTTCTGCAGGCCTGCAGTATTTAAGAGAGCAGCGGTTCTGAGGTGCTGGATACTTGGGCATAATGCTTTCTTATTTGAATATGTGATGTGTTTGTCATTCTTGTGGTTGTGTGATTTTTTTCTTGACTTATGTTGTCACCCTCAGACCTACAGTGCTTTAATATTGTTTTTTTTTTTTTAAGCTTGGCACCTGAGCTAACAACCGTTGCCAGTCTTCTTTTTTTTCCTTCGTCGTCGTCTTTTCCTCCCCAAAGCTCCCCGTACATAGTTGTATATTCTTGTTGTCAGTGCCTCTGGTTGTGGCATGTGGGACACCACCTCAGCATGGCTTGATAAGCAGTGCCATGTCCACGCCCAGGATCTGAACCAGCGAAACCCTGGGCTCCTGAAGTGGAGCGCGCGAACTTAACCACTCGGCCATGGGGCCGGCCCCTAATATTAAATGTTTTGAATCACTTTCAGGTTGTAAGATTTGGCTAAAGTTTTCTTTCAAAAACTGTTTGGAACCTACTAATGAGAAACCCACAAGATTAATTTTTCTTCGAAAGTGTGATATTTTATTTCAGCTTTATTTCTAATTGTTATTTTAAAAATTAGCACAGTAAGTTGGATTAGTGCTTTCCTTGGCATTGAGCTAGATGTCACAGCCTGTAAGTTGCTAACATTTCCCATTTATCCTAGTGACTAAGGGTACGACTAATTTAGATTGTATAATATTAGACTGTTCTTTTAGCATGGGCTTTACTTTTAATTATTCTACCCTGATAGAACTGTTAGAAAAGCTAATTATAATAAGATAGTTCCAGAATCTCTAAAAGCAAGAAATGTGTGCTTCTCTTTTTCCAAACCCTACTCATGAACTTCACAAAGTTGCTCAGAAAATCATCGATTTTTTTATCCTGTTTAGAAAGTGTAAATATTATTGGGTGATTGCTAAATATACTTGTATGAATTTTTAAGAATTCACATCTTCAAAAGTATGATCATTTTCACTTTAGAATTGTAATACAGAAAATTTTCTCAGGAAACTATTCCTGAATTGTCTCTCTTGTTTCTTATTTGTTCTTCACCCATTTGTGTATTTTTTTCCTTTCTGAGATGAAAAAAAATTTTACATTTTAGTTTTTTTGGCGAAAGAATAACAAAACAATTGATTGCTTTTGTAAATTACTTTGTCTTTTCCTATAGAAAGGTATTAGAGCGTGACCCTTGAACAGCACGGATTCTAGAGCCACGCTGCTTCTGCCACTTACTAGCACCGTGACCACTGGCAAGTTAGTTAATTTCTCAGGGCCTCCGTATTCTCATTTGTGAAGTGAGGCTAGTGGGACTTACCCCATAGGGCTTGTGAGACAAATGGCTTAGCGTAGGCATATGTCAGCGTCTGCCATTTGGCAATATATGAGTTAACTGTTAATTCGTCTGGGTGTAAAGAAGCACACACTCTCCTTTTGCCGACCTCATTTCCATTTTAATGTTTCATTCACGTCTTTGGTCTAAAATTTCAATGATGCTATTTTTCTAGGCTCTTGGGATGCTCTTTTGGCATAAGCATAATATTGAAAAATCATTGGCTGATTTGCCCAACTTTACCCCCTTCCCAGATGAGTGGACTGTGGAAGATAAAGTCTTGTTTGAGCAAGCCTTTAGTTTTCATGGGAAAACTTTTCATAGAATCCAACAGATGGTGAGTAGATGAGACCATTGATGTTTTTTCTTCCCCTAGCCTGTCTCCTCTGCAGCATGCCTGAGGGATAGGGCTATCATCTACAAGCATGAATATTGCCATTTTTAATACAGCACCCTTTAGAAAAAGCACCTCACTCATACTGCTGGGTGGGTGAGAGTCTTCAAATTACAGGAGTGAAGCATTTCCTAGCACTTCCCAGCTTGATGGCCATAAGTCAGCCCCTTCCCCCACCCCCACCCCAGTCTCTCTTGTGGGGCTCCCCAGATTAGTCCAGTGGAAAGGATCTTTGACAGTTATTTGATGAGGTGGAGCATCTGGGGCCCTTTCTGCTTGGGGAAGTTTTGCTTATCTTTTGCGTTCTGGAAACCTATCTGGTGGACTCTTGGCATGAATCTTATTGATGGTTATATTAGTGCTAAAATGAATTTTAAAAAAATAACCAAAAAGTTATGTTAGAAACTTTAGGTGTGTGAAAACTCTGATTTATCTTAAACTGACTTTACAATCTTTCATGGGCTAAGTTTCACTTACAGTCAAACTTCAGTAATTTGAAAATGTATTAATGAGAATTCTTTTACGAAGTTTTTCGTTAGAGAAAAAGGGCTGTGATTTATGACATTTCTGAATATGTCAAAGTGATCCTTATTAAATGTATCTAAACACATTTCATTTTTAAAGATTAGCGTTAAATCTAAACCAACTCGTTTTTTTATATTTAGCTTCCTGATAAATCTATAGCAAGTCTGGTGAAATTTTACTACTCTTGGAAGAAGACTAGGACTAAAACCAGCGTGATGGATCGCCATGCTCGGAAACAGAAACGGGAGCGGGAAGAAAGGTCAGTATGTGCCTGGGGGTGTTGTCTCACCACTTAATGGGAGTCTTTTGAGTCACTAGAATTTCTTAGAACTGGTGGATACACAAAGGAAAGGTGGAGTGACTGGATTTCCCCAGTACCTTCCTGGTGGAACCAAAACTTACACAATGTTCTTCAGCTAAATGTTTGTGAACTGTATTAATGAGTGAGGGTTGTATTCTTGGGGTATTTTTTCTCCCCATTCTTCCTCCAGTCAATAAACTTCATTCTGAATGAATGACCTTTCCCATGTATTCTTTTGTGCCCCTTGAGGATGTCTCCTTTTAATAAAAAGGAAGCTATTATTTCCTAGGTTGAAATTTATTTGGTATGCTTATACAAGATTCATTTGACATGTTTTTATGTTGGTATGTTAAAAGATGACGATACAGTTTAGATTTCTTTCTTCCCTTTTTTGACTCTCTTTCGTGTATGTGAGTAAGAAAGAAATATTTTATGATTTCTTAGTAAGGATGTTAGTTGTAATGATAGCTTAGTGAGTAGGATACATCTTAGATCACTTCCTCAGTCTTGTAAACAGCGCAGAGTAGTGGAAATGGCCATGTACTCTCACGCAGTGGTAGGTTCTGGCCTCGACTCTGAAAGTTCTGCTTGTATGCTCACAGGCAGGTGAGTTCAGTCTGCTTCTTCCCCAAGCCTCAGTTTCCTCACCCCTAAAATGAAGATGCTTCAAGTCCAGAAGGCAGTACACAAACAGAATGGTGGTTTTGTTAAGTTGGTGGGAATATAGGTGGCTTTTTAAAATTATATTTTTCACACTTTCTATAGTGTGTCATATTTATAAATTGGTAATACAAAATAAAATGAAGGAAGATAAACTGCATGATCTCCATGGCTCCGTCTCAGGAGAGTTTTTATGATTTCAAATGAAAGAGAGTAACATGTGGGAACATATTGAGAGCTGAGTATCAATTTTGGAGAATTCAAATCTCGGCCCAAGTATAAAATGAGAGTGATGCTGAAAACATCTCCAAAGCACTCTCCAGCTGTAAGATTCTATAAAATTGTTGACCTTAATAGATCTGCATGTTTTTTGGTCTGTAGCATACATGAGTGGGTCTATTTATGGATCGGTACTCTTCATAACCAAAGAAAAGCAGCAAACACTACTGAATTTGTTTTTAGTGTCGCAGCAACTTTTGCTTAAAATTTATTTCCATTGTTTGTTAGGTCTAGTTACCATTTATAAATTAAGTCTATTACTACAAACAGGTGCAGTCTACTAAGATGAGCTCAGAATTAAGTTAAGAAATAGATGGAGATTGTTATCCTTGCATACGAAATGATAAGCACGTTGTTGACACGCCTCCGTTCTCACTTCCCAGGCGCTTTTCTTTGCGTGACTTCCAAGGGTGCTGAGAACTGCTGTGCTCCCACCTCCCGTGTGCACCTTCACCACTATCAGGATGCAGACAGAGGAGGTGCACACGAGCCATGGCAGTAGCACCTGAGAGCTTGTTGTCTTTCTAACGAGACTTGCCTGTGAAAGTAATGGCAGGGACTGGGAGAAATTCCCTCTGCCCCAGGCGCTTTCTCCTCTTGGACACTCTTTCCTCAGCCAGAACTGCTTCCCCGCTTGGCCCTGGGGGGTGGGTGGGGAGAAGGCCTAGGCAGTGGGCATAGTCACGTGGCATGGATTCCTGAGACAGAGTGGAATGTTGACATTGGAAAACCTGAGTGTTCTGTTCAGGTGGTTGTAACTGTGGGAAACTGGGGCAGGCTGCTTGACTCGTCAGCCTTAGCGTTCTCATTTGCTTGGTAAAAGACCTACCTACCACAGAGCTCTTTTCTTTTTTTAATAAGAAATACTACATGGAAGCATATAAACAAAAGCATTTGAAGTACTGTATCACTGTGAGTGTTCTTTTTAAAATTAATTTAAAATACCAGTTATCTAGGCCACCAAACAGCCTCTCCCACCCTGGGACTCGTGTAGTCATGAGCAGACGGCTGGGACTTGAACGTGAATGTTGACTTGTTGTGAATTCGCTCTCGATGCAGTCGGACTTTATTCTTAAATAATTTCTCAGTTATGTCTAATGATCATGCCCCAGACCTCCACTAGCTAATGACGGGGAAATAAAGTAAATGTCTTAAACTTGCTATTTTCAGTTAGAGGAAACACTTTACAAATGTAAAGCAGCAGTTTTCTAGGCCCAGTTTGGGAGTCGGAAACCTACTTTAATGTTCTTTTCATCATTTAGACTAAAAGACTATAGAGTTGGTATTATTTTATTTGAATTGTAAAAACGTGTATCTCAGCAGTCTGAAAACATACACTAATTTTATATTAAATCTGACATTAAATCAATTTATTGCTTATATTTGTATATTAAAATTAGTACAAAATGATCTTTCAGTAACTTGTTCTTGTCTTCCAGTGAGGATGAACTGGAAGAAACAAATGGAAATAACCCCATTGACATTGAGATTGATCAAAACAAGGAAAGCAAAAAGGAGGTATCTTCTTCCCTAGTATTGTTTAGGCAAATAAATTTTATTACTAGTTCTATAAGTAAAACATTCCTCTTACTTATTCTACTTAGTATGTATTAAGTGCTATGTCCAAGGCATCATGATATGACTTTTTAAACAGTACTAACTTTGGTTTATAGAACTTAGAATTTTGTTTGCCAAGAAACATGAGTAAAGGAAACTTTAAGGGAACAAATAGCATTAATCAGTGATGATTTGGTCTGGGGTAGCGGTCCTCACTGCCTTCTTGTCTGAGCCATTAGCTCACTAGGTTAGAAAGCGGTGCTAGTGAGGACCAGGGTAGAGCTCGGCTCCTCTTGTCAGCCTTCATGGTCTCCTTCGAAGCTGTAGCTGGCCCCAGCGGTCTGCGCGCTCAGTCATGAGGAGACTGCAGGGCCGCGGGGACTCAGTGCAAGTCCTCTTGTTACTCAGAAACAACAGCATAGATCATACAAGGGTGAGCCTCACACACAGTGAGTTTTTAATCTCTCAGATCTTAAAAATCATTATGTCAGAGGTCGTTAGTTTCTGGATTCAAGGGGTCCACGATTCTCTACAGTTGTGTATGACTTTTTTTATATATATATTTATAGCATTTGTTTATTGTAAGCTGTCCACTGAGAACAGGGGGGTGTCTGGATGATCTTAGCCTTTTGAAATGGGAGTTTCAGTCTCGGATTATTTTGCCCATTCATAAAAATTGAATAAAGCCTATGTGGGATCTCCAGGGGCTGTCCGAGGAAAGCCAGGGCTCTGTGACACAGGTTGGAAACCCCCACAGTACAGCAGGGCCTGCAGCAGGCCCTGATGGGATGTCACACAGTACCTGGAGGAGAGGGCTCCTTCGCCCTTTGGTGCCCATCAGCCCCTCAGTTCAGGCTGGAGGATGGAATCCCAGCGTGAATATGTCTGGTGTGTGTGTTCATAGAAGTGTTTTTATGAAGACAGAGTCTACTTTCAGTAAAATCTCAAAGGTTCTCTATCTCAAATGTTCTAAAGATGACAACAACATGGAAAAACAAAAGGGACTAGGATATAAACATACCTAAACTTTAAAATTACATCAATAATATATCCTTTTTATAGACAAAGTTAGGAAATACAGCTAATCAAAAAAGAAAAAATAAAAATGGTTTACAATATTAGCACCAATAATCACTTAACATTTTGGTGACTTGAGACAACTTCTTCTGTGAAATGTATTCTGAATCTATACTCACTTTAAAAAAATAATAAAATGGGATCTTAATATTTAATTTTTTATAAGCTTTTAAATTTGCTCTACCTTTAACATATTTTTATGTCAAGTATGTTTGTCTACATAGCTCTATGTTGTTCCTTCGTGCCAATCTTTCATCGTTGAGTTAGTCAGTCTTACATGGGTTTTTATGGGTTTTTCCCCCTGCTTTTTGCTATTATAAACAATGCTGAAATGCTGATCTCATAACTAAATATTTGTGTACTTATTTTTTTCCATTAGAATTAGAAAACAATTACTTCCATTAGAAGTAATTTTATTGGGTCAAAGTGTTCTAGATATATTTTAAGGCTTCTTTTGGTATTTATCACCAAATTGGAAATTGGTCATTCTTTCTTCATAGCACTCGTGCCAGTGATTTGTATGAGTGCCCAAATGACAAGATCATTGTCAGGGTTAGCTGAATTAGATTGTTTGGGAAATCAACATGTACTGCTATTTTTACTGAGCTTTATTTTGATGCATTGTTATTTATTAGGTTCTTCAATGGAACATTTTAAATGAAAGAGAAAAGGCTTGGTTTTATATTAATTTCTGTAATTCTTATTTATGAAGCACAATTTCTGATTCAAAAAGAAAAATGGTTAAATCTTAGTTTCTTTACATACTAAAATGTTACTAAAACAGACACATGGTCAATAGGTGATCTTTACTAAACAGCGTAGGGCTATACAGAACACAGTTTATCGCCTATGAGTATTTTTATGTATTGTTTATTACCACTTGTTCAGGAACTTATTACTACCATCATAGTTTGCGTGGTCTTTTTATCAGTCTTTTAAAATACGAAGCAAAAAGCCTGAACATATTTTCAGCTTTATCAGCAAATGTAAAATACACTAGCAAGGTGAGATTATGAACAATTACAAAAACTTCTTGTTCTTAAAATGGTTACCAGTAAGATATTGTGCTTTTCTTGCCAAGATTTTACTGCATTTCCTTTCCGAAGGTTTTGATTTTAAAGAAAGCACTTAAAAAGATTAGCAGGAGTCGTGCATTTTAAACTGACAGCATATGTTTTTTGAGGCAAGTTTCACAATTGCCCTAAAAGTTGTGTTGTCCAAAAAAACAAGTGTATAAAAAAGTCCTAGTTTCATATTGTAGTTAACGTTTTTATAAACTTCTCTAAAGAATTTAAATGGATCTCTATGCATGTGCTGAATCATTTTTTCTTTTTTCTTTCTGTGGTCACATGTCCATCTATATTGCTCGGGACTATTAGGATAAAATAGCTCCTTGTTCATATATACAAAGCTCACTAGAAGAGAATATGTTTTTTTTTTCTTCCTATATTACTACAAGAAGATAAGAATGCTTATTGTCAGAGGCTTAAAGGGATAGAATATGGATGTATCTGTACAAGAAGCAATGGAATCATTTTGAACTGCCTAGCCGAAGTTCGATAGCCAATGTGTTTGTCTGTTAACTGCCTGTTAGAGTTTGTAAATAGTAATTATGATATGGCATGGTATTTGTCTTAGATTGTTTGGAGCCATGTTAAGGAAATATGCTTATTACTATTCATTTGGCGTTTGAATTTTTTTAGAGTCTCATTCATCAAATATGTATATCATGCAGGTGCCCCCTACTGAGACAGTTCCTCAGATCAAAAAAGAAAAACATAGTACACAAGCTAAAAATAGAGCAAAAAGGAAACCTCCAAAAGGAATGTTTCTTTCTCAAGAAGATGTAGAGGCTGTTTCCGCCAATGCCACTGCTGCTACCACGGTGCTGAGACAACTAGACATGGAATTGGTTTCAATCAAACGACAGGTACCCATAAGCCCAGAGTTAACTAGCACTTGAGAAGGTTTTTTATTTCTCACACACATGGATGTTCTCTTTCCTCAAATGTCAAAACAGCATTTTATTTCTAAGGAATGAGACAGAAGATCTTAGGTTGATTTTTCTTAAGTCAACTTTGAAATTGAAGTTGTACATATATATATAAATGTTGTGTGTGTATGTATGTGTGCATATGTATCTCAGTGAGTTTTTACAATGTAAACACACCCACGTAACCTCTCTCTCGATCAAGAAATGGAATATTGCCTCCAAAGCCCCATTCATTTCTCCTTCTAGCCATTACTCCCCTCAGGAAAGGCAGCATTGCCTGAGAGGCTTCACTCATGCCCCTTTCATTCATTACCTGCCTTCTCCCAATAGGTGGCCACTATTCTGACTTAAAACCACACGTTATTTTTATCTGTTTTTGGATTTTATATAAATAAAATCATATGATATGGTTTCTTTTATGTCTGGCTTTCTTTCTCAACATGTGAGAGCTATCCTTGTATCATAGAGCAATAGTTTTTGTTCTTTTTCATAGCTATATAAATATCCTACAAATTTATCCATTTTACTGTTAGTAGACATTTGAGTTGTTTCCCATTTTTGGCCATTACCAATAATACTGATATGAACGTTCTTTTATATGACTCTTTGTGCATTGTGTATGCGTCTTTGTTGGATATATACCTAGGAGTGGAATTACTGGGTTATAGAGGATACTTATGTCCAGCATTAGAAAACAATGCCAAACAGTTTTCCTAAGTGGTCATGTCAGTTTATGTGCAATTTGGTTATGCTGCATCAGGGTTTCCTAACTGTAGCACAGTTGACATTTTAGGCTGGGTAATTCTTTGTTGTGGGGAGTTGTCATATGCACTGTAAGATGTTTAGCAGCATCTCTGGCCTTTACCCACTAGATGTCAGAAGCATCCTCCCCTACCAATTGTGATAACAGAAGAGGCCCCAGGCATTGCCACATTACCCCTGGGGGCGGGGCTGGGGGAGCGGGGCACAGTTCTTCCCTGTTTCCCATTTCTATGTATATTGTTACGTGTAGGGTCGACATTTGGGTTTTTTTCCCATATGGATATCTAGTTAACTGAGTACTATTTGTTGAAAAGACTGTTCCTTCCCCACTGCAGTGCAGTTGGGTCTTTGTTTTAAATCCAGTGTTCGTATGTGTATAGGTCAAGTTTAGGGGCCTCTGCTATGTTCCTTTGGTCTGTTTGTCCATTCTCCACCAATACTGTGCTGTCTTAATTATATATATGTTATAAATCTAGATATCTGGTAGTATAAGTCCTCCAAGATTGTCTTGGCTATTCCTGGCCCTTTGTAGTTCCATGTACATTTTAGAATCACCTTCTCAATTTCCAGAAAAATAATTCTGCTAGAATTTTCATTGAGATTGTATTGAATCTATAGATCAAAATAGAGAATTAACATTAAAATAGAGCATTAGAATCTTCTGATCTGTGAACATGATATATCCCCCCACTTATATAGATCTTTAATTTCTCTCAGTGTTTTGTTGTTTTGTATGTACAGATCTTGTACATCCTTTGTTAGAGTTATTCGTAGATATTTGATACTTTTTTGACGCTCTCATAAAGGATATTGTTTTTAAAATTAATCCTTTTCTAATTATTTGCACCAGGAATGAGAAAAGGCTCATCATTTTAATCTGATTTTGCATAGTACATTTAAACTGAATATTCAACTGAGTAGTATTGTCCTTTCATTAGTTCTCTCTCTGAAATTCAAAGCAAATTGTGGACCGGTGGTTTACTTGTAGTTTTTGATGCTTTTGACTTGTTGATCTTAATGGTTCCCTTGGAAGGTTAAATAGGAGACCAACTGACGTTTCATAGATAAGAAGAGTGGGGTGTGTGGCCCTGTCTTCTGGTGTAGGGAGGCAGCACAGACCAGGACCAAGCATGCCCCATGGAATTGGAAGATTGGCTTCTTGTCTTGGATGCTGGCACAGCTGCATTCTAATCTTAGGAGAATCACTTAATCTTTCTGGGCCTCTTTTCAAATGAGGAGATTAATTCTTGCCTGCCTGATCTTACAGGGTATATGAGGGCTGCCATGTGAGAGAGTATTTTAAAGCTCTGTTTGCATTGCAAGAGCTCTGTCTGATTAGGGCTGTGAGCTCTTGTGTCATTTTCATCTTCCTTCTTCTACAAGGGGACTCATTTCCCCCTCTGCTGAGTGAGTTCCTAATGCTTGCTATTTGATGTTAATATGTTGAAGTAAGAAAAAGAAACCCCTTCTTCCACGGAGGTGTTGCTGACTCTGTAGTATGATAGACAAAAGATTCTTTGGTTTTCAGAGCCAGGGCCAAGAACAGGAGTTTTTTATTTAAAGGTAGCTACTCAAAGTTCACATTGTTGGAGACAGGGGGCTTGGAGTCTGACTTAGCAGGAGAGGAGACAGATTGTGTACTTTCCACAGCCTTTTAGGGCTACAGCTTAATCCACTTCCAGACTCACATGGCAGTCAGTCACACAGTGGACATTTTATTCTTTATGCCCCTATGTTTGGTTGTCTAGCAGGGAAACATTCACCTAAGAATAACAGAAAACCTGACTGACAACAGCTTAAACAATTAAGGATTTATTTTTATTAAATAGCAAGAAATCCCAACATCAGTGGTTGCTGGCGTTAGTTCATCTGTCCAGTGATTCTCTCAAGGACCCAGATTCTTTCAGATTTTCTACTCTGCTGTTCCTAGTTTATTGCCTTTTCATCTTGCTTGCTGCCTCGCATTGGAAGCTGCAGAAGCCATTTTGTAACCTTCACATCTGCATTCAGGGCAGTAAGAAGAGGAGATGGAGGCAGAGCTAGCCCGGCTGTCCCTTTTAGCAGGAAAAGCTTTTGCCTTACCAGAAGCTCCTAGACCTTCTGCATGCCCAGTGCTTTGCAGTGCGGCTCCTCCTGGCTCCAAGGAAAATCATCAGCCTCTGTTGAAAATGCAAGTGAGAAAGGGACTGGGAACGCCTGTCACGTTAGCCAGTGAGGAGTGCCTGTTACATCAGGTATTTTCTGAGGAGAGTAAAACGGTCTGACATTAGAGAAGAATCACTAAGCACACAATAAAGTAGAAAAAAGAAAGTTGTGTTCAACGGGGAGGTCTCAGTAAGGCACCAGGCCACAATGAGTGCTTTTTTTTTTTCTTTAAATAGTGATTGCTTTTGTATCCTATTTCTTATCCAGCTTGTTGCCACATTGCTTCCTTTCCAGTTGGCGAGATGCTGGCACCTAACCCCTATCTTTACTCTGATTAGTAAACACTTGATCTTTCGGATATGGAAAATGCATCAGAAACAGCGATGTAGGTTAGTGAGAATTTAGAGCTAACTTTTAGTTCAAAATATGTGGATATTTTGCCTTGTAGCCACTCATTTAATTTCTAAGCTTCTTTATATGTTGACTTAGAAAAATGCATGCATTAAACAGGTTGATCTCCTTGGAAAATGCATGTTACTTAATCAATGCAATATAAACCCAATTTTGTACCATATATAACCAACCAGCTAGACTAAATAGAGTAACATATTTAACTGGAAGGGGACATGTAGTATTCTAGATCCCTGACTTTTGAGAGTTTCCTGTCAGAAGTTTCTACGCTCAGTTTTTAGCCTAAGCAGAATTCAGTGACCATCATCTGAGTACGTTGCAGTATTTTATGGGTTGTTAGTTACTGAAAGCACCCTGAGCAAGAGTCTAAGATTGTGCTGTTCAGTGTGGTAACCAGTAGCCACGTATGGTTATTTAAATTTAAGTTTGGATTAATTAAAATGGAAAAAATTAAAAATTTGATTCCTCAGTTGCATAAGCCACATTTCACGTGCTTAGTAGCAACATTTGGCTAATGACTCCCATATCGGATAGCACAACTTTAGAATATTGCCATTATTAGAGTTCCCTTAGATAATACTGGTCTGAGAGCTTGGCATTGCTTTCCTGACTGAAACTTTCTAGTACCAATTTATTTTCTTCTGATTTGTACCTTTTCAAAATTCAGTAAACTGAAGCAAATTTCAGTAAATCAAGGTTCTCATTTATGCTTTTACTGCAGAGTAAATTTTGTGCACATTTCCTATATTTTTCTTTTCAGTTGTCTTTATGCTCTGATGTGGCATTAATACAAACGGATTTGGGGCGGGCTCTGTTTGTGGGCTTTGAGGCCTTTGCTAACGGCGGACGGGGTCAATTTCTGGTCCTTCTAGTGCTGGTCTTTTTCTTCCTGGCCACTAGTCCCACAGTGTGGAAAATTCTTCCTGCACGTCTCCCCTCCTTTTTTAAACCTTTTAGAAGTGGTTAAACATAGGAGGAAAGGATGTGCGAAACTGGAATTCTGTGAAATGTAAGTACTTGAAAGTGGCATTTAAAAAATTGCATAAGTATAAAGAGTTTTTCTAAAAGAGTGAATTATTAAAAAGTATCCATATGACTGTCTGTCACCGCCATCTCCCCTCTCTCCCTCCCCTTCCGTACCTCTGAAAGTCCTGCTTTTCTTCGCTTGCCTTAATAAGATGTGTGCTTTGAGGGCACCTTCTGCTCGTGAATGTCTTTGATGTTTTGCTTGGGAAAATGAACCTCTCCCTCCCCTTGCTTTCTTATTAGCTCATGTGATTATTCAAAAATGAAACATGCCATGGTCTGAGTTCCCCTGGTACTTGGCCCCGAAATGCCCGCCACTTAGAGTTGAGAGAGAAGGGCCCACTTCCACGACCAGCTCATCCAGGAGTCTGCAGAACTAAAGATTGAGTGCTTTGTATCGCTTGTGTCTTTCTTTTGATTAGGCAAGGGCAGTGAACGATTAGGTACCTTGAATCAAAACAGTCATGTGGATAATGTGTGAGAAAATGAGGAAGTTACAGTTGGTCACAATTAGCCTTGTGAAAAACTGACATATTGCTTATTTTTTCTCCCTATGAAAGAAGTCTGCGTTGTGGGTTTCTGCCATGTGTCGAATCAGTGCGGGGCCTGGACAGCACAGTGCTGGGGCTCTGCGGGGCTGCGCCTGCAGTCCTGCTCTAGGGCCCATGCCTCTTCTGCCTTCACTCGGCCTCCTGTGCTGCTTAGCTCAGTTCTGTGTGGTGGGGAGGCCGGGGGTAGCCTCTGTCTTTGGTGTCAGACTCCAGATACGTGTTTTGCTGTTCAGGTGATCACTGTTAGGAAATGGTGGATTACGACTGTGTACGCAGGAGCCTTTTCACCACCATCCCCTCCTTGGTTGTCCCTTGTCAGTTGCTCTAAGCAAGTCAATTAAAGAATCTAGTTAGATGCTCTCAAAGGATACCATAAGAACCTCAAATTTTGGCTACCATACAGGTCAGCAACTTCTTTCCTCTTGGGTTTTTGTTTCCTTTAGCTTTTTTTAGTTCTGTTTTCTTTTCATACTTCTATAAAAGTTTTTCATTTTTAAAATGAAAATCTTTTTTCTCTCTCTCTTAGATTCAGAATATTAAACAGACGAACAGTGCTCTCAAAGAAAAACTTGATGGTGGAATAGAACCGTATCGACTTCCCGAGGTAGGATTGTGCTGACATCAGAAGTTATACCCAAGTTTTATGGGTTTAAGAATTTAATATCTGTGTAATATATCTCCAATATACATCTCTTAGAAAGGAAGTATAGACATAATTTTATAAACCTAGTTGAACCTAGTTGATGTTAAAATTCTGGTATGAGAAAAAGAGAAAGTTGCATTAACTCTCATAAAGACATACTCATCTCTAAATATAGTGTGCTAATATGACTCATTTGGATATGCAGGTCATTCAGAAATGTAATGCACGTTGGACCACAGAAGAGCAGCTTCTTGCCGTACAAGGTATGGGGAAATTCTCCTTATAAAAAGCTTAGGAGTAATGATCACTTTTAGGAAAAAGTTATGCCCCACCCTGCTCCCAGCACATCCTTCATGTTGAAACACATTCTTGGAGGATTACATTCTTCTGGTGGACGTTTTAGCCAAATTACTGCATTCCCTTTGAGCTTTACTTCTTTCCCTTTCCCATGTCCCACAAGATGTGAAAACTAATCTGGAAGCCTCAGTTTCTAAAGGTGTGAGTCTCTCATTTTAGTAGCTACTTGTTGGATTCTGAATAGTTGGGAAGTACGGAACCCTGAAAGAAGCAGATATTGAATGTTAGCGTTTTAAGGTTGGAGATGTTCTAGTCCTGGGGATCCTGAAAAGATCCACAGTAATCACTAGCTGACTTTGGTTATCATGTGACGTATTATGGGAAAGCACAGATTTCTGGATGACAGGGTCATACTGAACTTCTCTGTCCAGTCGTCTGTGGAACATATCTAGACGTGAATGCTGCTTTTTCCCATACAATATACTGTCTAGTGCCTGCTATTAAAAGCCTATATATGTTTTCTTATCTAGATAAGGGGTAAGTCTCAGTTGTGGGGTTTTTCAAAATTATTGTTTTTCTCTTCTATTGAAAAAAAATGCTCTCTTACATCCTTAGCCATCAGGAAATATGGCCGAGATTTTCAGGCAATCTCAGACGTGATTGGGAACAAATCAGTGGTACAAGTGAAAAACTTTTTTGTAAATTACCGACGCCGCTTCAACATAGATGAAGTTTTACAAGAATGGGAGGCAGAACATGGGAAAGAAGAGACCAACGGGCCCAGTAATCAGAGACCTGTGAAGTTCCCAGATAATTCTGTCAAGATGCCTGAAGAGGAAGACGAGGTAAGTCTGAAACAATGTGATTTCTTCTCTGCCAGAGTCATGCTCGAATCTGCAGTTGGTTTCTTCATTGATGACATTTTTCAGCCGTAGAAATATTTTTAGGTTTCAGCTGTGTCAGTAACTTGACTTTTACCTGTAAATACCATAATACATGTGTTGACTCCAGTTTTTGGTCACTGTGTATCTTAATCCACATTTTAATTCCTGGACAAATTCTTAATTCCATCCTGGTTTCCTCCAGCCACAAAATGTTCCACATTATCAGTATTTCCTTAAATACAGTAAGAACTCTGCCATAGAACCGTAAGTTGGAAGTGCCTTGAGGAGCGTCAGTAAAGCTCAGTCGTGTAAAATATGTTGTCAGCTCATTGTGAGGTTAATGAGCTTACTGGAGAGTCTGCACTGCTAGCCAGCTGGGAGCTCCTGGGTCTGTCCTTGCTGTCAGAATCTTGTAGCCTTTGATGCTGTTTGGTGCTAAGTAGCGTAAATATTGATGGAGACAATTCTAGGTCCTGTGGTTGTCTGGAACTTCCAGGATGGTGGCCAACATTCTAATAATCTCCAGGAGAGTGGCACCGATTTCATCAGCCTGATCAGCAGAGATTAGGCAGGCAGATTACTGAGGCTGCAGGAACCCATCTGCTCCCTCTGCTTCCTGTGACAGGGCTGCCTCGCCTGGCCTGCCCTGCTACGCTTTTACCCCGACTCCCACAGAAGACCAGACTGGGCTGGGCATGGGAGAGCGTTAACTGCCAGTCACTTTGCATTTGAATTTGTTCACTGACTTGGTAATTTAAGGATTCATTTAGCTTTACAAGGAAAGTCATTCTCATCAAAGTCTTCCCCAGACCATGCAGGAATGATTTGAAATTACCTTTTTTGTATTGTCTGTGCTGTGCTGTCCCTTTACTCTAAGAGCCTGGCTGCAGAAGCAGCCCAGAAACCCCCTCCTGACCTGAGCGTGGGAGTGCCTTGTGAGAAAGACAGCAGCCCCTGAGAGCATGACGTTGCTCGTCCACACCGTCTGTGTCAGTTTGAAAAATGGCCTCAAAGCACTAACATCTGTCAGATGACTGTTGAAACATACTAATTTTGTTAGAGTTAGACTCTTTTAGAGCTTTATACCAGAAAATCTTTGTAATAAGTGTATAAAATCTGTAATATGAAAATGTGAGTGTGCCTCTGAGTCACACCCTTGCAAGGCCCAGCCTGCCACCCTGGAACATAATAGCATTTGAGCAGAAAGAAGGTGTTTTTATCTTTTGGCACTGATTTTTGTCCCAATGCTAATTGCTCCTTTAGCAACAAATTAACTTCTCTAAAGTTCTGGACTCAGTTTATGAGGCATTGAAAAGATGAGGCTGACGAGGGAGGGAACATGGGAATTTACAAGAATGGAAGCTTCCACGTGTGTTTCCAGCTTCAGTTCCAAGAAGCAGAAATAATGAGAAACTCTGGCTCTCTTCCCTCTTCAAATTTGATCAAAGCTGGTAGTGGCAGGGTTAGCATAAAAAAATGTGATAGTAGCTTTAGGACAAGTGTCATCACCACAGGAGGTGTTTTTGTACATACTTTTCTTCATTTTCTTATGCCTGGAAACTGACTGAGACAGTCAGTTACTTTTTTTTTCTTTCTTATTAGTCCAGAAGGTCCATCCTTAATAGTCCACTTACCATATTGATTGCTCGTCAAAGTACCCATATGATTTCTTTTCCCAGTCTCTATTGCGTTGGCTCATCCATAGCTGGACCTCCCACCTAGCAGCAGCTCTCCATTTCTCTTTGGTGGTCGATCTTCCATGTGTCTGTTTACCTAGCCTTCTCTTCAAAAAGAGTGGCATTATCTAACTTATTTTTAGTGTATAATCTTTATGTATCTTTTAAAATGTTTTCACCTCTTTAGTCATTTAAAGCCCACACTCTCTATGCTTCACACACACACTCTTGCACGCCTACATTTCCTTTTCTTTAGTCCTCTTCTTCTTATGCTTTTTACAGCACCAGCTCGCTGGCTCCACCACGCTGATTCTCTGTTCTCCATATGTTAATTTGCAGAAGGAGATTAATCTGTAAGGACCAGCTGCTTCTCTGTGTCCACGAAGGGCCTAAGGGAACTTGTTAGAATGCTGGTTAATTGTCTGTCTAGTCAGTGCTCAGAACTTGGTGTCCTTGTAATTTCGCATTCTTGTGTATCCCGTGGAGTCCAGCAGCTAAGAAGGATGTCTGCTGGTGTCCTGCCTGCCTCTTCTGCCCCAAGACTTGATTTTTATGCAGCACAAACAGGGAGGAGGGCCTCAGAACTGCCAGAAGTTCTCGTAACATAATGGTCTGTCAGCTGTAGGCTTTTCTCCTTCAGGACTAAGAAGAGAGTTTAGCCAAAGCGGGTTGAGCTTTTGAGATTCAGAGTTCTCTGAGATGGCTAAGGATGGAGGACGAGGCAGCAGGTGTTAGGGGATATGTCAGAAAGAGCACAGAAGGATGCTAAAAATGATGGGATTGGAGATAAAGATTCTCACTTAAAATTATAGAGTGAGTGAGTTTATTACTAATGAGGAGAAATCTCCTGATTTGACTAACAGCAGTTTTCATAAACTGTGATTTCACGAGAAGGAACAGCTCTTTCAGATTTTAGAGTCACAACCCAGTTGTTCCCTAGCAGTGAGACCCCGTGAGGGGAGTGGTGAGCACTAAGACATCTTGTAACCTTTCGGTTTGGGTCTGGGAGTCAGTTTTGAAAATTGGGAGCGGAGATTTAAGAAATGCCTTTGAAGCCCTCACAGAAGCTCCTGTGAGTTTGGGTGTCTTGCATATCCCTGTGTCCCAGCAGGACCAGTGGCTGGTGAACGAGGTGAGTGCTGCACCATCCCCTCCAGCCAGTGCTGACACACGGAGCACTGCTGTTTGCCAAGCACTGTGCTCATATGCTCTTTTCAGGAGTTTTTATTTAATCCTGTGAAGTAGACATCATTATTGTGTATATTCTGCAGAGGAGAAAACTGAAGCTCAAAAAGAAAGAACTCGGGGGCCCGCCGGGTGGCGCAGCAGTTAAGTGCACACGTTCCACTTCGGCGGCCCGGAGTTCGCTTGTTCGGATCCTGGGTGCAGATATGGCACCACTTGGCAAGCCATGCTGTGGCAGGCGTCCCACATAGAAAGTAGAGGAACATGGGCACAGATGTTAGCTCAGGGCTAGTCTTCCTCAAAAAAAAAAAAAAAGAAAAGAAAAGAAAAAACTCGTTTAAGGATACACACCTGGGAAGTGGCAGAGCCAGTATTTGAGCCCACGACATCTGGCCATAGAGGCCACGCTCTTGCCCCGCCCTTCTGCTTGCCTCGCCGTGGCCCAGCCATCTTGTCAGGCCTTGCCCTTAGGAACATGTGTGTTTGCAGAATACTGTACTCGCAGGACAAGTTGGGTGGGCCCATGCCCTCGCCCTCTTTCGGTACACCAGAATTAGCAGTTTGTATGGTTTACCTGCTCTTTGATTCTTTTTTTCCTTTGCCTCTCCTCAGGCTGCTTCTGTTCTTGACGTCAGATATGCATCTGCTTCCTGAGAAACTCTGGTAGCTTTGAGCACTTGGTATGGACACCTGTGTTATCCAGGATATCAGGTATTACAAGACATCCCCTAGCCATCTGCATCACATCTCTGTGGACAAGCAGCTATTACCAAAAAAGGCGTATACTTCCAGTCCTGTGCTCCATCTGCCTTAATTCTTTGCTCGTTCCTCCATGTTGGCGCCACTTCCCAGAGAGCTCCATTGCATCTCTCGCACTCTGCGTAAGTGCTGGGAGATCTCACAGCCGGCACGCCTCCTGTGACTCTGGGGACCGCCTTCCCAGTCGGAGCTCCGGAGCCCCACCAATGGCAGCTCTTCCCAGTCAGCAGCTTCGGAACAGGTAGTCGACTCGGAAGGCACGACTCTGTTCCTGCATGGCCTGCAATTTCTACTTTGTGCATAATGTAATTTTCAGAGTAACTGTGACCCTGTTGGCCTTCTAGAAAGTTTCTCTTGTTCCTTTCTGAGGCATCCACCTAAGTGATATCATGCTTCTTTGGAAATCGCGATATATTGGCAGACTGCATTATAACCTTTATCGTGCCAAACATCCTGATACAACTCCCATTTCCCTAAACGTAGGGTATAATTATGGTTTATAAATTTAGTTGGCCTAAGTCTCTCCCTTCTCCTTTCCCAAGTGGTAGAAAGCTCATTCATAGCAACTGTCCTTGGACACTGTAGCTTAAAGGGAACGTGGACCTCAACACTTTCTGCCTTCAGCTTTCAGCATTGCAATCCTAGGATGGGTGCCACCCTATCTTTCCTGATTCCCCACCACTACCACCCAACTCCAAGAGATTTGGTCCATACCACTGTACCTGGTGCTTGTACATTTGGAATTGGTGCCTTCTCCTTTTGGCAACCATGTTATCAATCCTTTTTCTGTTTTAGTGTCTTATTTCTTCTTTAAAGTTTATTGCTTGCCAAAGATGACATCACTGAGATTAGGAGACAGGGGAGAGCTTGCTGCAGATTCTGACAGAGCGCAGATTTTAAATGTCAGGTCAGCTCAATAAAGGATATTAGAATAGCTGGTGATTGTTTTATAAAAGCTACACATTGTTCCCCATTCTGTTGATATGCCTGGCCTTTGACGTGGCACTCCACATATCCTTTTGTGTCCTTCGTGTACTGATGTGATCACATAAACACCATCCACTCTCTTTTACTATTATAGTACAGGACAGAGAAGAGATTAGTTTAGTGGTTCTAGTGAGACCAAGATGAAAAGAAACCATCTACAAAGTGGTATGTTAATGCCTTTTGGTTGGACTGGGAACAAGCATAAATTTCTCATAAGTGTTCTGAGACTTCCCGAGTCGCTTGTGTTCTCTACCAGACTGTGGACCCGCTGAGGGGTTGAGGGATGGACTGTCAGACTGCCTTCTAATGTAACCTGTCCCCATCCCACAGTCAGTTCAGCCTGCACTAAAATATGTTGAAGGAGCTTTTTTGTTAGTGTTTTTTGCATCATTTAAATATGTTTCCTGCTTTCAGTACCAAAAAGAAAAAAAATGCAGATGCTTTAAGGCATGAACAGAATTGTTAAGAAGTTTAAATATGCAATGAAAACTTGATATTCTGACTCCCAAGCACCTTTTTTTTTTTTTAAGTCAGCTGATTATCTCTTTAGGAAGAGGGTCAGCTAGAAACCCAGATTGTTTGGATTTTTTTTTTTCTTTTTAGAAATTGGAGAAAGGTCATTCAAAAAGGGAGTATAATGGGACTTTGCCGACTTTCATCACCATGTCCCAACGTGAGGTTTCTGTCGGTCAAGTGAGAGCACATGAAGAGCAGCATCAGAGGTCAGAGGGCAGCCACAGCGCGCGGCCCCTACCTGGACGGGGTAGTAGGATAACACTAGTAATGATGTAGTCGAGTTTGCTTTTATTTTTATCATGAGCCTGCTGTGTGACTGGAAAACGGCAGGAAAAACATGCGGAGGAGGTGGCACAAGTTTTGCACGTCGCTTAAAGGGGACACTAGGCACGAACCGAAGCTTTGGGTTCTCCTTGCTTCTCAAGACCTCCTTCCCCTTAGCAAGCGGTAGGCGATCTGCTGCGGTGGCCTTCCCTCTCTGCCGGTGGATCTGCTCCTCTCTTCACACCCAGGCTATCTTATTTTCCTCAAGAATTGATCCCTTCTGGCAGTGCTTGAAAGCTTGATGCTAGTTCTTATGTAGCATGGCGGGCACAGCACCAGTGCCAGGCCTCTGTCTGGATTCTGCACCATCCCCCTACTTGGTTCCTGGCACCGAGTGGTCTCCAGTCCTGAAAAGTCACTGTGCTAGTATACTTGTTGGATTTTGGCTTTCTCTCCAAGGGAAAGGGGCATGTCGTTTTCATTTGCCAGAAGGAAAAAAGATAGTTGTCTTTGCCTGACTGCCTTTGTTGTAGTTTCATACGTAAGATAGCACTGTGTTTTAAACTGTTTCATTACACTGTCTTTGCCATGATGATGTAAATGCAAGAAATCGCTTAGCTTTAAAAGCTGAGTGATTTGGTCTTATTTATGTGAAGACCCTTTTTAACATATCAAGACTTCGGTGCATCAGCAGGTCGTGTTTGGATGTGTAAGGGTCCACAATGACAACTGCTTCGGATGCAATGTTCACTTAAGCTTTGTCTTCTTAAAAATTATCAATGTGAATGTCATAATTATATTTTTTTTGTGTGGAAAATTTCTCCTAAGTATAAGTTATTGTGCAAAATATAGTACCATTGAAGCAAATGATAGTTTAACTTTTAGTTTAGAAATCCTAAAAGATATAAATTGTATTGCATATGCATTAAAAGTTTGTTTTATTTAATTTTATGTAGATGTGTAAAGTGTTAGGTAAAAGTTTTTTTCACTTATCCATTTAAACACCTTGTTACTTGAATATTGTGTTGACTGGTCTGAAACAGTGATCAATTCTGTAATGTAGCTCTTTTAACCAGGAAGTACCCATGCCTCCATTGTGCTTAGTAGGTTAGTGGTGGCACACAGTCAGGTGCTGGTGTCAGCAGGAGCCAGAGGTTAGTGTAACACGCCCACTGGGTTGTCTTGGTATATTTGTGCCTACCAAGACACCAGTTCCTCAAAAATGGTTTTTAATCGTTTTTAACCTATAAGACCCTTTGATGATCACAAACCTCTAATCAAAAAATGGAAGTGAAAAAACAGTTGAGTTTTAAAAGCTTACTGTGGTGGACTGATTAAGCGGTTGTTTTCTGTGTATATAAAGTTTCCTCAAATATCACACACCACCATAAGTGTGCTCATTGTCACTTTAAATTTCAACTATGCCCTATTTTTGTCTTTCTAAATATCAGATGTACTATTGGTATAATTGCATACCAAAAATAAGCCAAACAGTGCATTACACTAACTGGATCCCTGCTTATCTGAGCAAAGGAAAGATGGAGCCAATTCAAACAAGAGCCTCATTTTCTCTCTCGTCTAGCCTGTTTCTAAATCTAGTGACCCAGGATTCAAGCTTTTAATATCAAGTGAAACTTTGCCTCAAGTTGACTCAAAGTAGTTAGCTAATCTGAATCTAGTGATCTTGTGCAATGCTCAAAAACAAACATTCTTTCTGCCACTCCCTGGACCTCTGCAGCTTTTCCTAATTATAGTAAAGCACAATTGCAGTAACGTTACAAATGAGAAGGAAGGTCAGTATAGTCTATGCATGTTGTATGATAATGAGTGTTTACAGTCACCTTCTCCTAAAACTAAGATTTATACTGGAGTGGATAGTATTCCATTATGTAGGCTTATCAACTTTGCTAAGTGCTTTTTAGATTGCTTAAAAATTTTTCAAGATTTTAAAAGATGTATAAGGTTAAGTTTGCAAATATAATGGAAATGCTGTATATCTTTTGAAGTGATAAAATCCACGTTGGAATTTTAAAGAAAATATGTTGTAATAATGCTGTTGTAAGTAATATTTTAATGTCTCTTTCTGCCTGTTTTCTATTTCAGCACATTCATTGTGGTGAATGTTCATAGCATTATAATTGCTTAGCCATTAAATGATAACATTTGTTAGTGGAAATTGGAAAATTTATTTGTGAAATTCCACAGAATTCATTTTTCTATTTCCAATATTTGCTGAAGTTAAATAAAAATTTTGAAGTCATTGATGTAATAAAATATGACACAAAACAATTTTCTGTGTGCGCCCCCCCCCCCCCATCAAAGCAATACCCCACCCTAATACAAGGCGGGTTTTTCTCTTGCCTTTTGGAGTTTCTGAATGTACACATTACCCAGAACTGCACCTGTGGAAACACACAGCCAGGGGCGCCTTCTGTGTGTAGCCTGTACCTCTGTCTGAACTACACTGTTTATATATGATAATCTTAGGATTGGGATCAAAATGTGATGCATGAGTTTGTAAAGTTTGCGATAGTTGAGGGCTTAAATTTACAAGTTCAGTGAGAGGAATTTTTTCCCCATAAGTGGTTTTTCTCTTTTCAGCTTCACCAGGCTTTGACACTTGGAAGCTGGCCTCTGCACAGCCTCTGGACTGTGCCAGTGAAGAGGCGAGACCGCCACCTTGTCGCCTCTGGTCAGCCAAGAGTGGACACAGTCCCAGTGTCGGCGCCTCTCTGAGGAGCGTGAAGAACGCTTTCAGCGTCCACTGGCCATCTCTCTGGGCTTCCTTTTTTAGCTGGAATGTAGGATTTGGTTAAATAACTACCATAAAAACCTGACTTCCAAATCCAGGATTGCCTCAGACAACATTTAAAATGCGCAGATGGGATCCCCCTGTGTGTACGACTTTGCAGTGTCGAAGGGTGTCCCCGACACTTCGCAGGTCCTCACCCGGAAGAGAAAATAGAACGAGCACACTCGGTCACAGCACTGTCACAGGAGAGTATGCCCGGTGCTGCTGCACGTCTGCGAGGAAGGAGAGACCCAGTCTTCTGGGACGAGACCTGAGGGTGGCCTCTAGGAGAGGAGGTCAAAGGCTCAGAGACCTCACTGTCCTTTCTGGAGGTGACTGTGCTATAGAACAAGCGCCAAGGCCGGAGCCTGGCTTTCCTGCCAGGGGAGGGAGGAAGAAAGGAAGCCGCAGGGGGTGCAGGCAGGGCAGAGCGCGGAGGGGCAGGGCCGAGGACGTGGCCCTCTGTCATTGCTGCTGGACGGCTACTATGCTGGGCACCACAAAGGCACAGTTCAGGCTTGGCCTTTAAGGACTGAGAAGAATAACGAGTACTGAGGATAGGAAGTGGAGTTATCGAGATGTCGAGGGGAAGGTTTTCAGAGACTGGCATAGACACCACGCGTGTAGAGGCATAGATTAGGAATGGGGAGGAGACAAGTTATGGGTCCCAAAATCAAGGACGCATGAAGAGCACAGGTCCTGGGCCCCTTCCTGTAACCTAGAGGGAAAGTGCACCTGTGTGCAAGTGTATACAAGTCACCTCTTGTGCCCCACCTGACATAATCTTGGCCCTTGCTACAGCTCCGCCTTCAGGCAGGTGTAGCTGACAGCATTCTCCTGGGGAGGCCCGTGAGAGCTCAGCCTGGAAGTGGGGGGAGTTCAGACTCCACCGGGGCAGCCTCTGGGTTAGGCGGGTCGGGGTTGGGCACAGGGTCCTCTCTGTGCTGCAGGTGGCTCGTTCCGAGGCACTTCTACGGGGCTCCACCTCCCGCCCCATGGTGGTGACCAACTGAAAAATGCACCCTGTGTCACTTTCCTAGTTGCTCCTGTTGCCTGGGGTCACTTTCATGATCGAACTTTTTGCAGAAACCCTCATCATAGGCTCTGCTTTCTGGTGAAATCTAGACCAAGACAATGCACGGAGATGAGAAGAATTTCTCTATTCCCCACCAGGCCTTGGTTACCTCTCTTGAGGGCAGAGATCTTGAGAGCACCTACCAAGCTGTATTGCAGGAAAGGAAGTGACAGCACCCTTGTTGGAACTCCCGGTTTTTCATGATTTCCTCCATCTTGGCTCCATCCAGTGAACGCGTGTACTAAAAAGCAGAGCCAGCGTGTCGCCCACAGATGCTCGAAGATCCCGTCCTCTGTAGCCTCCACATCCTCTGCTTCTGTGTTCAGGTGTCATGTTCGGTGCTCACTCTTGGAAGTAAGAGATGTGTGAAACGTTCCAAGTGGTCGAACTCCTTTCCTTCTCAACAGGTTTAAGTCTGTGCTTGCTCCTCTCTGCAGCTGCTTCATGCTTGGGGCATCAGTAGGGCCTGGACAAGCTCACAGGTGATCCTGACTCATGCTTGGGTCCGGGCTGGGTGGCACCAGCTCTCCCTCCCTGGTCCATCTCACCACCTAAGTGGGGCTTCTGTTAGCACCTGTGGCCTGTGAGAGCCCCATCCACTGGAGCTCAGGCAGGCTCCGCTCCTGTGTCCATCAGCACCTCAGAGTGACGTGTCCAAGATTGAGAGATCTCTTCCCTCACTCTTTTTTCTGAGTTCTCTTCCTTGGTGTGTGGCCCTGCTATATACCTGGTCATGAAACTGAAACACTGGCATCTCCTGCCCCTTGAGTCTCTTCCTCCCTTATTACTGCCAGTGACAGTTCAGGCCCTTCTCAGTCACCAGAGTTGACAGTGTAGCCTCCTAACTCGTTCCCAACATTCCTCTTTCCTTTTCTCTCACTCATTCGCCCAGTCATAATTAGGGCCCTTTCGTGGTTAAAATGCTTCATTTATGTTCTAGAAAAACACACAGCCTTTCATTCTTTGTTTTTAAAGCCATGTAACATTCCTGCTTCGGGAACGTCATCCTGTGCTTTTCCCTGCTATGGTGCCTTCCCCGTTCCACTTGGCACGGCCCGCCACGGCTCAGCCACATGTTGCCATCTCTGTGAAGTCCTGATCACCGTCTCTCACCCCCCACCCTCAGCAGAGAGAATCATTCTCAGGGCTTCTAGCACTGACACCTCTCTGCACTTAACCTCTTTGTACTATACTACGAAGAAAGGATTCTGAATTTTTGTTTTATTCTTTTAAATAGATAACCAGTGTACTTAGTGTAAGAGGCATGCAGTGAGATGTAAGTTCCCCGTCCCTGTCCACTAACCATCCAGCTCCCTCCACAGAAGCCACTGTTACCAGGTCCTCACATCCTTTGACAGATGAGCAATACGTTTACAAGTGTGTGTGCTCACTGGTATGTGTGCAAATAATCACTTTTCCATACAAATAACGTACTCTCTACACTGCTCTGTATACCTTGCTGTTTTCACTTGACACACTTGGTCTTTCGATAGCAGCACACGCATATCTAAAGTTGCTTCCTCCCTTTGTGGTGGTTTCATGGTGTTCTGGTTGTGGTGCTCTATCTAATTATGGCTGTAACAATTTATTTAAACTGTCGTCAGTTGCTGCTCGCTGAAATACCATTTGTAATACCAGCAGACTGGAAACAACCTGTGTTGTTTTGCCCACATACAAGTGTAGTTGTAGAATAAATATCTAGGATTGGAATTTCTGGGTCACAAATCTGTTCATTTTCACCTTGATACATACTGCTGATTGTCGCCCAGAGAGGCGGTGCCAGTTTCTCCTTCCTCTGCCGTGCACGAGGCGCTTGTTGCCCTGCGCCCTGCCCAATACTGTGATATTAAACATTTGATCCAAGGTGTTTTATAAGCTTTTAGTCTACTAGATTGTGAGTCCCTGGGGTCAGGACTGTCATATTCATCCTGGTTCCCAGAACTGGCAATATTAGGCACGTAAATGCTTGTTAAAGGAATGGGGAAATTGGGTGCACTGAGGAAGAAAAGTAAATGCCTGCCGGCCTTTGTGCTTGGAAAGGCCCTGTTACGGCTTAGCCTTGACTCCCAGGGAGTGGGATTCACAACTGTCAATTCCTGGACTTCTAGAGATGGATGAGCTGGGGTTTGGGGTTTTCTGGGTTCTTTGCTTGTTTCTGGAGCTATCTGCTGTTTAGCTAGTTGTTGCCAAAGTACTGGGGACTTAAAGATCCGGTGATTGCATTTGAAATGAGGCTGAAGAGTATTCTCCAGATTCTGGTTTTCAGACCCTCCACATCCCCTCCCTTACTCACTGCCCCTCCCTTAATAGAGAGTCGGCTGACAGACCGTGAGCACGTGCGCAGTGTTCTGGCCTGGACAAGCTGCAGACACCTTCCAGCTGAGGTGCAGGCAGGGAGTGCTTTTGAGAACTAAATGAGAAGTGGGAAGGGGCCATCCTGTGTGGGGCGTCCTTGAGGAGGGCATCCCAGAGGAGGTGACAGTTGAAGAAGGAGTGACAGCTAGCCCAGAGTGTTCCAGCAGACCCTGTGGTTTACATGGGACGAGCCAGCCCCCTTGCAGTCAAGTCAGGGCTGTGCTTCCTCACCATCCAATGGAGGGTGTTAGAAGTGTATATGGTTTTTGGTGATCCGTGCACCAACCTGGTTTCCTACCCATGGCAGATGCCTGGTGAATGTACGTTGCTGCTCAGAAGACTTGGAGAAGGCAGATCCCCCTGCAGGAACTGCAGACGGGAGGTGAAGGGCTACTGGCAGGGCCTGCAGTCCGCCCTGCTCCGAAGGCTTCCTTTCTCTAGGCCATTCCTCTTGGCAGTCAGGAGCACAGGGCGTGACTGAGAATCCGCTGACAGGAGGCCGGCCAAGCATCCCCAGCTGTAGTTTGCGTTAGAAGTCCCCTGGCCTCAGGTCTGGGCAGGCGCTCGGGTCCGCTAACCTCTCTCCAGCATCTGGCCGAGGAGAAGCTTTGCTGGAGGGGCCTCTTAGTCCTCCCGCAAGCACTTTGTGTAACAAAGTTATTTTTGTGTATGGTGGCTCATGGGACTTAATTGCTTGAAAAGTAAATTAGCAACAATTAGTCTTATACTATGGATAGTCATGTATAGCAAATTATTTGTGATTTTTAGTAATAATTGCTTAATTTATTGAAGATTGCCGTGCCCCAAAGGACCAAACATGCATTGTTTGATTGACTGCTCATAGCAACCTTATAAATAGGGCCTCTCATCCTGTTTCATAGAAGAGGAAGCCAAGACAAAGAGAAGAATGTCTTGCCCAAATCAGACAACTAGAAAATGCTAGAGTCAGGACCAGAATCGCCCGAGGCTCTGCTCCATTGCCGGCCTCTCATTTAGACTCCGGAATGCTGACTCAAGTCCTCCATCAATAACAAAATCTGTTGTGATCTTGGTCACTCCCTAACCTCCCTAGGCCTGTTTCCTCCCCTGTGAAGCAGGGATGGTAGCCCTTTTCAAGGCGGGGGAGGTTGTACATGGAAACACTTACATCGAGCCCAGTGCCTGCACGGGAGAGATGCTTGATAAACGTCTGAGCCTTTCATTCTCTAAGGACAAGTCTAGCAGTGTGCATGTTGCTGGCATCTCGGGGGGGGCAGGGTAAGAGCTGAGCATTTCACAGCTCGTTGGCCTTCAAACAAAACCCTCACTTCTCTTCTCAACTACGCACCTCCAGTCTTACCTCCCAGACCGGGGATCTTGAAGTGGTTTTGGTGGCAATACAGAATTTATTGACCATGTACTCTGAGTGTGTGTGTACTCATTTATAACTTACCTACACATAGTACTTGTAATTAGTATCTTCAAAATTAGTAAAACTAACAAGCAGTCCTCTTCCAACACCCACTATTCTAGACAGCTAGCAAACGAGCACTGACAGTCCCTTGCCGTCACTGTTCTGAGGCTTGGCACTCTGTGCTGTTAAATGGGCGGGACCTCACTTCTCCAAGGAGGGAAGCGAGGGCACAGAGTTGAAGTGACTTTAAGCAAGTAGGTGGCAGGTTGAGCTGGAGGCCCCAGTGAACTGTCCTTGAGACAGAATTCACTGGGTCTTGCTGCTGTGGCTGCTGCTAAGTGGGTTGAGCTGGGACGAGGATGACCTCCTCGATTTGGCTACACCTGTAGCTAGGCCCGTCTTGAGCCTCCCCAGAGCTAGCTGCAGCAAGTGTAGCTGCCATTCCCCATCGGTCTTGGATCACAGTCCCCAGGGCCACTGCTGGGATGTCCTTTCCTGCCTTCCGCCTCGCCTGCTGTGCACTGGCTGCGCGGCTCTTCCTGCAGGGGAACTTGCATCTCTGAGGCTGCTCAGTCTCTCTTACCGGCTTTGATTTCCTCTCATTGCGGCCATTACAATAGGTGTGGCTCAAGTGCCCTGCTTGTAGCAGAGCACCTGCCCCAAAATCTGGATGGCTCTTCAGCTCAGACCTGGCTGTGCCTCCTCCACGGCTCTGGGCTGTCCAAAGAGGACTCGTTGCCATTTCTCCACCTTGTCCTTTGTCAGGCCTGTGTTCAACTATTGCCCAGGCGCTGAGGTCAAGCCCACAGGTCCCCTCCTCCCCAGAGTGTAATCCTTGGCTCCTCAGCAGCCCTGGGACACTGAGCCCAGTATCTAGTGGGTGCCCAGTGTACACTGTCCATCAGCACCATGAGGCCAGGGACAACAGCCCTGTACACCACCGAATAGCCTTCACAGCAGGCCTGGTGCATGAATCTGCCCTAGTCTGGCCTGTCCACAGCGGTGGCCTCTCTCTGACACCTCTGGTAGGAAAGACAGAGGCATGGCCCCTGGTGACTCCTGCTCCGAGTGTCCTTGCCTTGCATGGTCGCGTCCTAACCCCTGGCTTGCTCACGGACTTCATTTGCTCAAGGGAACCTGAGCAAGCATGACATGAGCATTAGGGCCTGCCTTCTCTCACTGCTGAGAACTTTGCCACCCTAGCAAGAAGCCTGAGACGACCTTCTGGAGACAGGTGGCCCGGCTGACAGCCAGCACAAGCCTCCAGACCTGTGAGAGGCCGTGCAGCCCTGCTGGAGCTACCAGGAGATCAGCGGAAGGACTGCCAGATGGACCCAGTCCAAACTGCTAACCCACAGGATTGTAAGCAAATAAAACGAATGCTGTTTTAAGCTACTGGGTTTGGAGTGGATTGCCACGTGGGAGCAGGGAATTTGTGAAAAGGTTCAGGCTGCAGAGAAGAGCCAGGCGCTTGGGCTCCTGACGGTGAGGGGCTGTGGAGCCACAGCTCTCAGAGGCAGGCAGGTTGCCCTTCTTGGAGGAAGCTGTGGGCCGGTGGAGAGAAGAGCAGGAGCCCCTGGCTGCCTCTGAGGCGGGGACGGCCACCCTCTCTGGCTCTCAGGGGTCCCAGTGTGACACTTCACTGCAGAGAAATACTTGCAGCCCCTTGGAACTGTTCCTGGGAGATCCCTGAGACAGGCCCCAGGACTCCAGCACAGTGTGGAGCGGGCACATCTACTCGGGGGCGGAGGTGGCTGCTGGGGCCTTCTTGGCAGCTGCTCTCTCAACAGCCTTCAAACTAGTAAGTCCGGCGCCTGTTGGTTGACTGCCTTTTTCATTCAGGAGATTCAAAAATGAAATGCTTTCCCTGCTCCCCTCTCCCCTCATTCCTTCATCGCACATTCTCCTTGCCTTCCTCCTCCAGCCTATATTTGGCTGGAGCGTCTTCCAGCTCTGAAGCCAAATAATGCCTGGCTAGGATTCGAGGACTTGGATTCTGTCCCTGAATCGCTGTGGCCTTAGAAAAGCTTCTTAGTCCCTCAGTATCCTGTTCTCCCTGTGAAGAGGGGGTGCATTGCCTGTTTCTTTGGGTGCCCTAATGAGGGAGTGGCCACCTGGTTGCTTCCTTGACCAAATGACAGGTGTGTCCCCTGCTGCTGCCCACATCAGCTAAACTGGGATCGGGGCGCAGGGCAGAACAGGTCCGGGGAAGGTTCCCAGTCTTTCTGGGAGTAGCCGGTAGGATGTCCCTGCAGCCCTGTCCACGCAGAATGCTAGGGGCCAGCATGCTCTGCACAGCCCCCAGGCACCCTGAGGACCCAGCTGCAGGGTGGGAATTGGGGTTGGGGCTGCCTTGGAAGCAGCCAGCCTGGAGCCTGTGTCCCAACCCCTGCTCTGCAGTGTGAGCTCGATGAGTCATTCACGCCTCTGGACCCCTTCTTGGTAAAAGGAAACAGTGCCTTGGATTCATTTGGTTCAACAACTATTTACGGAGGCCTTGCAGTGTGGCCCTAGGGGAGTGACTGAGCAAGACAAACCAGGTCCTCGCCCTTCAGGAACGTGAATTCCAGCAGATGAGAGAAAGTGGGACCATCCATGCAAGCAAGATAACCACAGGTTGCTTCAGGATTAGATTTGTTGATGAGGCTGGGACAGCCAAAAGGCCTGGCTTGCTAGGATGGGCCAGAAGGTAACCACGGGCCTCGTCCCATCTCAGCCCAGAGCCTTCTTCCCTGTGTGGAGTCCAGGAAGACTTTGTCAGCAGCTTAGTTTGACTTCAAGGAACTCAGCATGGCCTGTTAGGGTCATGCTCCATCCATGAGCCAGGCGTTACTATTTGATAGGTTTAGCTAGTGAATGGGTCCAAGGCTTTCCACAGTGGGAAGGCAGCCCTGGGTATGAGGCATGAAGGGAGAGGCAGACAGGTCCAGCCACTGCAGCATGACCCAGGCTGGGACGTGGACCTGCCCTTTTCTACATCCCCACCTCAAAGCCCAGATTGTGGTCTCCGAATGCCATTTCCCAATAAAAGGAACCAGGGATCTTTGGAGGAGTGACTGGTTTCAGACCTGGGAGGAAGTGTGAGAGAGGGAGCCTGGGAATCCTGTGCTAGAGACCAAAGAAGTGCTCTGAATAACGGGGTTGTGTCTAAAGCACTCTCAAGCCAGCATAAAAGGCTTCTCAGTGGTGTAACACGGACCAATTTGCCATCAAAAGCATAATGACTGATTCATTGAAACACAGCAAATATAAGAATCTAAAAGTTCATAATGATAAACACCCATAATAGATTATGAAACCACCCATGATTAAAGACGAGGATATCAGACATGTCTCCAACTTTCCTATCTAAACTATTTCAGGGCAATCAAATAAATCATTGGGGGCAAAAAATCCTTAAAAGAAGAATTCCAGCTAGTAGACACAGAAGAATATGACAGAACTAGAAAATTACTAATTTGCGTCCCCTTGTGAAATCATGGATTAGTCATAGATCATCAATGGCTGCTAAAATCATCAGGTGGAAAGTTGACAGAGAACTTGGCAATAGATCAGGCTGAACCTGACCCCACCAACAACCTTAGCTAAACCTGCACCTCGGAGAGGATTCTGGGAAGATGGCAAGAGTAGGAAGCACCAGGAAATCTGTCTCCCCACTGAGAGAAATGTGCTGACAGAATCTGTCTGATGTAACTACTTTGGAACTCTGGAGCCTACTGAAGCATTGCAACTTCCAGGGCAAGGCTTGGACAATAAGTTGTGATTACTTTCCGTTGATTTGAGCTCATAGCATAATAGCAGCTATTCAGCCCCATGGCAGGCAGCCATGTGCCCATTCTAGGAGCAGCTTGCACACAGCCTGTGGAAACAAGGACCCTGTCCTCCAAGTATCAGGATCTGTGTTCTGATTGCTGATTACGGCTTCCGATCATGGAGGTGCAGACAGGCAGGCAGTCATTATTGCAACCCCCCCCCACCACCATTGCTGCAAGCCCCTCCCCTCAACTGAAGCAACATCCAGAGGATCTAAAGGGCCAACACATTTTTTTACCCCACCCCCCTTCATTTTTCTCTTTTTCTCCTTTTGAGAGACAGACACTGAAGACTAGGACATTTAAAAAAGCAGCTGCATATACAGAGGAAATTAGAAAGTCACAATGCATGCCCAGGAAAAGGCACAGGCTCAGAAAAAATCTGAGAAAACCTTAAGTTTACACCTCAGGCAGATCCTTGGCACAGAGATAGCCTACAACAATAAAAGGGAAAAAAAAAAACAGCAAACCTTGGGGAAGGGGGGAAGTCCGCTTATGAGAATTACCACATTGTTAGATTCGAATGTCATTTTTAACAACAAAAATCATAAGGCATACAAAGAAATGGCCCATTCAAAGGAAAACAAATAAACCAAAGAAGTTGTCTCTGAGAAAGACCAGATGGCAACCTTCTAGACAAAGAGTTTAAAACAACTATCATAAACATTCCCAAAGAACTAAAGGAGGATGAGGGGAAAAATCAAGAAAACAATGTGTGAATCAAGTGGAAATAGCAAGAAAGAGAGAGAAAACCTAAAAGGAAACTAAAAAAATCCTAGAGCTGAAAAGGACAACAATGGAAATCAGTTAATTCACTAGAGAGATTCGAGAGCAGATTTGAGCAGGCAGAAGAATCAGTGAACTTGAAGATAGGATAATTGAAATAATAGAGTCTAAGGAACAAAAGAAAAAAGACTGATGAAAAGTGAACAAAACCTAAGGGGCCCATGGGACACCCTCAAGTAGATCGACATGCACATCATGGGATCCAAGAAGAAAGAGAGAGAAGGGGCAGAGAGAATATACAAAGAAATAACTGCTGAAAGCTTCCCACGTTTTATGAAAGACATGACTATAAACATCCAGGAAGCTCAACAAACTCCAAGTACAGTGAACTCAGAGGGGCCGGGCCCAAAGCCAAGGGGTTAAGTTTGCGTGCTCCGCTGCAGGCGGCCCAGGGTTTCATTGGTTC